TTTCAAAAAGGCGTAAATTTTCCTCATTTAGCTACCAAAAATCAAACTGCTTGAGCATATTTGTAGCTCTAGTCTAAATTATGCCCAATAAAGAAGGTGTCACCTAAAAAGAGAAATACGTAATTAGCCACAAAACTTATGTGCCAACCCTGATACGATTAGGTTGTTTTTTCAGGACCCACATCCTTCAAACGTTTCATTTCAAAAACCTGAAGTGTTATAATTTTTTGTCAACTTCAAGCTTTATTAACATTTATAGGAGTAGCATATGCTCAGACATTCAACTACACTTGTGATCCAGTACAGCTGCAGAGGTGTCAAGCCGTCTTCAACGATGAACTCAAGATTGACCGTAAGTTATTCATTGTTTATCATCTTACATAAATGTGTGAGTTTTGAAATAGAGTAAAGTACAGTAAATGTAGCAGTTTCATTTCAGACTATATTTATAGTTTTTAGTATATTATGAAATCTCTTTTAGGAAAATATAAACTTATAATTACTCAGGCACCATTCTGAAATCAAAAGTCCACACTAAAAATTAAAAAAATTGGATTTTTGAGCTCTCCTTCCTTACTGGGCAGCTCTGGCGAGAGCACAAAATTCTATATTCCGTCTAGAAAAAGGAGATAACGATACTTGAACAGAAGTTTTGATGAAGTAATTCATGCTTTAAAATATTTTTCCATAACACTAAAAAATTTCAATTTCTACCGTACTTCCAATTGCAAAGTTGAGAGTATGTAGATAACCGCAGATATGTAAAACGCGAAAGGTTTCAATTGAAACTGGAGCAGATGGTCCGGCAAATAGAACATTTCAAAATTTTCTATACCCTAATTTGAAATCGACAATTTCAGCATCTCTCGGAGTGACATCGTATCCGGCTTTGAGAGCAGCTATTGAGAATAAACTTGGTGTGGATAAAGCTCTCGGCTTAGCAAACACTTGCATGGCATTTAAATATTATAAAACATGTTTCAAGTAGGTTTATTGCAAAGTTTGCTAGCCTTCTATTTCATAATTATTCAATTGTGAATTTCAGTAATCGTGAAGAATACGCCAAGTGCGCCAACAATCCCTTGGGTCTTATCATCGATCAGAACGGGTAAATTTTCTTACTGAGTTTTCTTTACCGGGTGATTCATCGTAGCAAAATTTCATTTCCTACTCTCTATATTCTCTTTGGAAGAATATGAAGAAAACGCCCACAAAATTTAGATTTTCAGCATAGAAAGAAAAACAAACTGCCTTTTAAAAATGAATGGCCTTGTCCATTTCCAAGATGAAATTATTGAAATTTTGCCCGAAGAAACTCAAAGAAGCTGTTGTTTTTTT